CGCTGCGAGCGGCTCGTCATTGTCCAGAATGTCTCCTAACAGTTTCTAAAATGCAACCAAATGCTTCATTTATGATTATCTGTTGTAGAATTTGTCTCCTTTCTGTTGACTGATGTTATAAAGACGAGCACAGATGAGATGGCGAACCGCCCCTCTGGTGATTATGGTACTTACACGTCCAACACGGCGCCAGAAAATAAATCTCTCTGACTGCAATAAAATATGTTTTTTCTCCCATATGAATCATCCGACCACACCGGGCTTCATCTCTGACCATACGACGTTCGCTTCAGGCTTGCAGATTTAGATTTAGAAGATATATGGAGTGAGCGACATATTTACTGGCTGCTGAACTCCATCGGAGACTGCACTTATGGGTCACCATATTAGGCACACCTTCACAATCTAATGAGCTACTATATAACCACTTTATGAAATATTATGCCTTTAAAAAGCCAATAAATCATCGGCTCTATCAAGGTTGTACTATTTCATTTAGATTATTCAGCTCGCGCTCCTAAAAATATATTGTTGAGCATCAATATACACCCGGGGCGGCCAGTCTTTTTGGACCGAAGATCTACTTTTAAGGCAAGCAACCTCTCACCGGATCGCCATTCTTTGCCAGTGCCATCGGTGAACTGTACATCGAAACAAATGTTGAATGAGCATCGCATAAAAATAATCATTTTGAAATTTCCTCGCTCCTCAATATTCCAGTCGACGCCAGCTGCATGATAGCAACGTAGAAGCATTTGGGAATGACACCAACATAAACCGAGCGGAGTCAGTGCATACTGAAACACGTACAGTAGTGCCTGCGTTGTCTTTTGTAGGTGAAGAACGCAAGGGTCCTGAGACCCCCCATTTTCCAACACCAGATCTGAATAAAGCTTCCCTGATGGTGTTCTGGCAGTGTCGTTTCTCCCAGAAGAGGAAATCTTGTGTCACAACAGGGGGATTATTTGTCGAATTTCTTTTTTTAAGTCATATCCAATAGTCACAGGTGAAGATTTGAAGAACGTTTCTATTTTGAAATGCAACAACAGACTTTGATAAAACTTTTGGTTGGCATCGCCGTATAATGTAGCGCAGGTGTACCGGTACTCAATTGACGGCCCGCTGGGCACCAATTTGAGGCCCCTGAACCTTTTCCAAACATCACACGAGATTAAGCATTCTCATGACACAGCTTCCACAAGCCACGCTTCGTTTGGATGACCTCACCGTGCGGTCGCTTAGCCCATTCATTGTGCAGCATTGTGAAACGTGGACCGTGACATCGGCTTGCACCAAAGACACGCAGGACAACCTTCTGGAATGGCCCAAAACTCAATTCATTGTGAGAGGAAATATGATCTCTTCATATCTATTGTGTTAGTGTCTCAAATACTTCTTACTTTTGTATTCATTTGTTCTTGAGTGGACCATTCTTTCTGTACGTTCACAATCTAATGAGCTACTATATAACCACTTTATGAAATATTATGCCTTTAAAAAGCCAATAAATCATCGGCTCTATCAAGGTTGTACTATTTCATTTAGATTATTCAGCTCGAGCTCCTAAAAATATATTGTTGAGCATCAATATACACCCGGGGCGCCCAGTCTTTTTGGACCGAAGATCTACTTTTAAGGCAAGCAACCTCTCACCGGATCGCCATTCTTTGCCAGTGCCATCGGTGAATTGTACATCGAAACAAATGTTGAATGAGCATCGCATAAAAATAATCATTTTGAAATTTCCCCGCTCCTCAATATTCCAGTCGACGCCAGCTGCATGATAGGAACGTAGAAGCATTTGGGAATGACACCAACATAAACCGAGCGGAGTCAGTGCATACTGAAACACGTACAGTAGTGCCTGCGTTGTCTTCTGGAGGTGAAGAACGCAAGGGCCCTGAGATGGGGGGGGGGATTATTTGTCCAATTTTTTTTTTTAAAGTCATATCCAATAGTCACACGTGAAGATTTGAAGAACGTTTGTATTTTGAAATGCAACAACAGACTTTGATCAAACTTTTGGTTGGCATCGCCGTATAACGTAGCGCAAGTGTACTCAATTGACGGCCCGCTGGGCACCAATTTGAGGCCCCTGAACCCTTTCCAAACATCACACGAGATTTAGCATTCTCATTACACAGCTTCCTTCCACAAGCCACACTTCGTTTACATTTGTATTCATTTATTCTTGAGTGAACCATTCTTTCTGTACAGTTGTGTTGTCAACATGTCGGTATTTGAACGGCTCTTTATTCAGTCACTTCAGAATGACTCATGGATCGTCCCGAACTTTTTCACCGGCAGTACTGGCCTCAAATTATCCGCTCAACCCTAAACAGAGTTTTACCTCACTGCGTTTCACCTTGCCGAGTCACAGTGGGGCAGGGCGTGTTGAGGCAGACATCAATTTTAAGGTGGTAAGAATGTTTGGGTGGCTCAGCCCTTTCAAATGAAATGGACGGCATCCCGGGGAGGCCTATCAAAAATGATTAAAAAGGGTGGAAGACCGCATGTGTGTAAATCGTCAAGACGAGTCGGCACAGGCTCGCCGACCCACAACGGAGAGGCAGGAAGCTTTTTAGCATTTCAGCGCATAGCAACCTGCTTAGCCTGCAGCACCGATCTTAACGTGGTCTCTTTCAAACTACTGCTCTCTCGCTCTCAACTTTCGCCACTCCTGCATAAAAATATTCAAGTCAAGTTGCTGGTTCGCTCAAGACAAGAATGTTTCTGTTGGTGTTAGCGTCAAACCGGAGCTGCAACCTGGTATGCGACGTTTGTGTACAATACCGTGGGTGCGTTTTAGGGCCTTCCAAACACTAAGTTGAGGTGAGCTTTTCTCATGGGGCAGTGCTGATCTTCAACCTAAACAGAGTTTTATCTCACTGATAGAACTTGGAAACGGATCATTTGGTTTAAAACTCTGACAGAAATCGGATTTGACTGGCGCTCGATAAAACCGATGGCAATAAGGCTTCAAACACGTAAACGTAGGTCGGCAACAGCGTTTTTTCATCACTTCAGGGGCTTCAATGGATTATGAGGGGGGTCCTTGGGAATTAAAAAATAAAAAATAAATCTCCCAATGTATATGGTCCCTGGAAACAAAACATTTGAGAGAACCTCTGCAAGAAGTGACTTTTTGCTGATAGGCTCCACTGTGTTTCCGGGCAACCACATTTTAGTCCAACGTGGACAGGATGGACGTCTTTCTCTCGAAAAAAATGCCATCAATTTCCGAAGTGCGTGAGTTGGTGGTCATAGGATTTTGTACCATCTCACGCCACAACTTCATTTGAGAGCAGAATAGAACAAAAGCAACGGTACTTCCAAACTTGAGCCCGTGCAGCAGTGGCACTTGTTTCTCCACTCGCTGCCTCTTCTCTTTCCCCTTTCCAAGTTGCATCATAACTGGACCGAGGCACTTCCATTCACCACAATGGCGCGCCACGTTTTCATGTCAAGTATCTGATATGTCATTATTGACTCTGAGCGTTTATCCTCTTCTTCATCTTGACAGTATAAAGAATGGCCTGGCGGCACTTGGCCAAGACTGGAAGTATTTTTATTTATTTATTCCCCCCCCCCCATGTGTGGATGAGGTCTGTGCTCACCGTTGTGACTAATGGGAAGCCCTAAAGGACTTTAGGGGGCATCACTCAAAAGTTTGGAACACTTAGAAAAGAATATCACTCTGTATATGTTTGAAACTCACTTTGGGTTGTTTTTTCCCCCATCGCAAACGACGCTAAAGATTTGGTACGGTGGAAATCAAGATGCTTTGGAAGGAGATAATTAAACTGTCACACCGCACCCCACTTAATATGGGTATCCTTTTGTCCCTAGACTACTTTGTCTCAGTGAGGCGACCTTGGGAGTCTACGAGCTCATCGCTCCCAGCTCCCCACGAGCCCCGAACGGAGCTCCTCTCTGTCTCAAATTAAAGATAAGGTCTGCCTGCTGCCGACTCGGTGTTCGGTAGCTACCCTACCTTTGGCATGTGGTCGTGGCTAATTACTTTGAGCTGTTAAGGGAGACATATCTGGGGAGACAGGCAGGAGGGGAGACCTACAAACCCAATTTATATGATTTTTCCATCGCCCCTTATAGCTTTGTGCGACTTGTTGGATCGACGGGTTCAATGTTCATTTCAAACACGGTCATATTACAGTAACCTGTGTTTAAGTACGGAGTTACTGGCATCATAGTGGTGCTCGGTACCACCGGAAGCATTTGGTCCGCTGACCTGAAGGACCGGGCAGGGATGTAGAGGGAGGAGCTTAAAATGTACAGGGAGCTCGTGAAGGGAAGCCACAATTGGAGTTTTGCCTCTACGAGCTCCAGTTATTTCGCAATCTAACTGCAGTTCTCATGAAAAACTCTCGAAAAGAAATCCTCGCCGTTCAAAATCCTCATCAAGTTTCGTCAATGGTCATGTCAGGGATGGGGTTTCTCAAGCGCTCCGCCTGGTAAACTGCTCCATTTAACTTCGCTCCGACTCCCACCGGCTCATTGCTAAATAAGGATATCAATTAGGCTGAAGCACTCAGCAAAGGCTCCCAAGTTAACCATCAGCCGAGGCATGAATGGATCTTTAGGGATATTGACTGCCGCGGCAATAGGTTGGTAAGTGGGCTGACCAAGGGGTAATTAAAGCAGCGTTATCATCTCACACCGTTTATGGTTCTTCTGTGGCCATTCGCGCAAGAACAGATGCACGTGGCCCCTAAGAACACCGCAGACAAAGAAAGGGAACATGTTGAGTGGATCGAGGACTGTCGCAGTCACGTACTGTAAATAGAAAATCCGTTTCTGTGTAAATCTGGACATGGATGACATTTTTAACCCAAGAAAATGATACAATTGATCAATAAATATAATGAGAGTGGTGTCATTGGCAAACGGCAGATATGTCTGCTTTTTATTCTTGAATGTTTATCAGCACATGAGTTTTAGGCTCCTGCAGTCATGCCAACGGTAAACGGGCTGCCACTCACATACTCAAAGCGCCGTTGCCTCATTCACCGACTGGTGATGCAGAACCGGGACCAAGTGGAGGGGGTTCCGTCGCTTGCTCAAGGACACTTTGACATAGCCGCAACGGCCGGGCATCGAACCAGCAACCTCCGGGTTAGGGAAACAGACCGCGCTACCACCCGGCCGTGCCGCTCCCACCCTACAGTATTACTCTGGTTAGAGAGAGAGAGAGAGAGAGAGAGAGCATCATTACTGTATGGGCACACGGATTGTTTGATTGCTCAAAGTGATTCGCTTTGAAAAGAGGAGTTCGTGCATATATGTTGAGCTTGCAGATGAAAATTGGTTAAAAGTCAATTAATGGACTGATTTTGTACCTAATTACTCACGCGTTTCACCTTGCAAAGGCACCTTGAGGAGCTAAATTTAAAAGTAAAAAAAGGTCAGTAAGTCCCTCGTACAATTAAGCCAGGAATTTCCAACGAATTCCATCATTATCGCAGAGATGACAACGTGTCTCTTTTGGCCAATGAACTACTTCTCGTTCGCTGTTAGACCAGCCCCTTTGATAAGTTAAGATAAGATAAGGTAAGAATCCTCACGATGTCTCGCAATGGAGAAATTCCCAATTTACAGCAGCAAAATGATGAAAGGGAGAAGCAAGCAGAAGAATAAAAGGAAAATGATTAAAAAATATCAAATATGATGCATTCGCAATGTACAGGAAACACGCTCACGACATTGTTGCAATTAAAGGCCTGTTTTGTTTTTTTACCGCAACGGCCATACCGGTTGGGGCCTTTCAAACAGTAATAGCTTCTCTTTAATTTTGCCAGCCTTGCACAAGGCTCGAACGCTTATCAAGATGAACTATTTATGTTTCGCTATCAAATACATTCATTTGAAAAAATGTAATTATGATGTATCGCTGGCATCAAATGAAAGCCCCGTCTTCTCGAGGTGTTAATTTGAGTATGTGAACTTTATACTCGGAACTAATTGGTTGCTGTTGAAATCCCCAGAATGTGAGTAATTTGATCAGGTATTCCATAACCATTGTACAATTTAATTTGAGTCATTTAATTGGATTTGACTGCTCATTTCTGGGCCATTCGCCAATCAGTATTCAAGGACTGTGGAGGTGTCCTGAGGCAAACACGCACAGTAGCTACCACTGGATTTCTGCAATACAGAACATAGATGAATATAAATACTGTTCATCAATGAATTCTCTATCGATCTATCAAGCTATTTGCCGATCAGATCGGAGGGTGGACCCAATTTGTGTTAATATAGAAAATGTGCCCGCCATTGTTTGTGTAAAACGCCGCAAGGTGAAGATCTTAACTGCTAAGCAATGGTTACTTACTTCTCGTTATTCTTCAGGTCAGCTGTAATAACAACCTGATATGTTTACGCGCGGCATTTGTTTTGTTTTTTTCTCTTACCCGACGACGAGAGAGAGGTGGCGCTTCATCAATTGCATTGAAAGCAGACAAGACTATCGTCTTCCATTGTCTTTGAACAAATTGAGATTGTCCCCCGCTTTCAATGTCATTGACGAGGCACCGCTGAGGAGTTTATCTGTCCTCGGAGGCTCAGCCATCTCATCTTAGTGATGGCCGAGGCCCGGAGACTCAGAGGCGGCAGCCGAGACGGCATCCCCTCCCATGGTTGATGTGCTGCGAAAATTGCGTGATGACCACACGTTGAGGGAACGGCGACTTGGTCAAATGAGGGAGGGAAGAGAGAAGGGAGACGGAGAGAGGCCCACGGGGCAAGACCGGCGCTGTCTCGGCCGGACCCTTTTCATTGAGCCAGAGACGAACGAAGAGGACACCGCTGCTCTGCATCAGCCTTATGTAGTATTCATAGCAGCGGGTCCTTCCAACACAATTTGTGACCTCCACCCCAGAGGAGGAACATTAGAGTTTAACAATAGGCCGCTCTGTAGGGAGCTCGAGTCCGCTGAGACTCGGGCAAACAACTTTTTTTTTTTTATATATTGTGTCTTTTCTGGGAATTCCACAATAAAATGACCGTTATTTATCATGACCAACCTCTTTATCATTTAGTCAATAAAGGCCTTTCCACTTTCTCCCTCTCTCGTTCCCTCCATCGTGGTCTGGGAGTCAGATATCTGTATTAGTCCCCCCACCCCCCCCCACCCCTTCCCAGCCTCGGGGCTGGCTGTGTCAAAAGCTAAATCATGATCAGCTATGGCTTTCTGGCTAAATTGTGTATGAAGGCTGCAGGGGGGAAAAGGTGCACATGTTCATTATTGGTGACACTGAGGAAAAAGGGAGAAGTTTGGTGCGCGTGCTAAAAACAACAAGGATGTGTTACTGCGTGAATGAATGCATCATGGATCTTTGCCGGTCTGAATTTTCATTTTATAAATGCAAATTGTGTAACATTATCATGCAGCCATTACCCCCCCTATTTGTATATTATGGTCGAAACTTTGTCTGCCGCTTCCAAACAAACCTCACTCACCGGAGTCTCACGACTTGTTTAGATGTGCATACAAATGATATTGCTTTTCTTAGCAAGTTCTGAAATCCAAACAATTTCTTCCATGCCTGGAGGATATTTGAAACTAAACCGATTTCTAAAAAGTCATGGGCCTCAATCATCACCGCAGATTCCGATGTAATCAGAGCATACTGATATTAGACATTGGTATTAGTGCTGTCAAGTGATTAAAAAAAAAAAAATACACATTCGACTTCTATTTTCTGTCAAGCTCACAACAAACATTTCCTTGAGTAAATTCTTGGAATGAATGTCAAATCATCAAACAGAAATGACATTTCGATTTAAAGACCGCTCTAATAAGTGTCTTTGATTACTGGCTGCTCCTGTAAAATACAGCCGTCGAACAAAAAAAAAAAATCACAACAGTGCATTTAATGGATATTCAGCAACACCTGAAGGACAGTGTGAAATAACAATTCAGACTTTCCGAATTTACTGTAATATGGTCGCCTTTTGGTCATAGAAAAAAATGGTACGCAGCTTCACACATTTGCAGGAGTTAAAAAAAAAAAAAAAAATTGTTACAGGGAAATAATGCGACCACATTTAATGAAAGGTTAAATTTTCATTTACTCACTATTGACTGAGCTGAAAGGGCCATTATTTATTGTATTGGCATGATGTGGCCCATTAGTGCTGTATTGGAATTGCTTTGGCTTCCTCCTCTCCCCTTTTTTCTCCCCGTTCTTCAGCGTTGAGCAATCGCTCCAAGCTAAAGTGTGAGGAAAGACCTGTCTCTGAGCGTGCGTGCGCGTGCATGCGGCAAGCGCCGCAAAAACAACTCCTCAAAACTTTTTCCGGCTGAATTCTCGCTCTTCATTTTCACATTGTCAGCGCGGTGGCATGGCGATTTTGCCATTGATCCGTTGCTCTCTTGATCTCACCGGCACATCGATGACAATCTAATTCCTTTCAGCAGATTTTATCGGCCAATGTCCCCGCAAAGTGACAAGACACATTGCGGCCGCGTGTAACTTAATCAAAAAAGGTGCTCCGTTCAATCCAGATTGAGTCACGAGGCAGTTGGGCTCCAAGAAATGTGGCACATTCATTTAAAGATGTTCTCTAATTGCGGTCGGTGGCGAAGACACAAGCGCCGCTTGAATGTAGATCGTACAAACCCTCGACCGCGCGGTTTTGGTCAAAACGTGACCTCGTTGCAATAATGAGGCAACATCTGCATCATGATGAGCAAAGTTTTTCCTGGGGCCAAAGTTGACTCCCATATCCAAACGCCAGGTCAATATCTTGTAGGTTAATAAGCTTGCAGAGGCTGTTTTAGACTTGTTTGGAATAAGGAGTTAGCAAAGGCGCATTTACTTGAAGATGCGTGCTTTCAAGCGGACACTTCACTGCACTTGATTAAGCGGGATCGAGTCGGACCAACTTTTGACATCTTTACCACGCACGTAGGGCCCGTATCCCACTGAGTGGCCAACGTTTGAATGTCCATGTTTTTTCTCAGGGTTCGGTGAATGTCGCAAACGGTCGCAAGGACGAACCGTCGCAGAAAATCAACATTCACAACGTCTGCAAACAGTTCGGTGGGATACGTGCTTAGCTATTTGTGATCTTAAACATCATTGAATATCCGTTTGTGGGAAACTCGCGTTAAATTGTACTATCCATCCATTCTCGAGCGCTCATCCGCGGTGGGGTCGCGGGGGCTACGGCTTTTGCAAGGAAGCCCAGACTTTCCTCTGCCCAGCCACTTTTCTTCTTTGATGTTAACTGTTCTGCAAAGCTCTTTGTTTGTTTCAACTACAGTTGCTGTGAAAGCGCTACATACATAACGATATAGTGGATGGTACTTCTTCCGGGGGGGATCCCAAGGCGGTCCCAGGCCAGGACAAAGTTTTTTCCATCCAGTATTTCTGTGATATGTCGTTGCTTGGGGATGAAGCTAAATAAAGGCACTGTGACAGAGGGCGCAGATGGTACGTGTATTCGACAGATTGGTGTGACCGAGTACATTTCGTGTTGCACAAAGACAACATCTTAGCCACCACTCCCCCCCTGTCCTACTTTGTACCAGATAGGTCGTATGCGACCGATGGTTCCCATCTGATCATTTGCACAAAGACAACATCTTAGCCACCACTCCCCCCGTCCTACTTTGTACCAGATAGCTCGTATGCGACCGATGGTTCCCATCTGATCAATTACAGTCAACATGCACCTTTTGGCCTGTACAAATGGGACCCAAAAAGGCATATTCTGCCCCACCCATTGCATGAACTCGTCTATGTTTGCATTGCCTTGGTGAGATGCCTTGCGTCAAGACCCCAACACATTTAAATTTACCCTCGGCGGTCAACGTGCACCTACACGCGGCACCTACACTCGTCAAATGTTATGGCTCGGTCGTTTCCCTTTAACGCAGTTTCTTTCCTCCTGTTTCCGAAACTGCGCATAAACAGCATGGGGCTTTACGGTCTTGTTTTGCGTCTGTCGGTGCGCCATGCCAGCATCCGACACCAGCTCCCTGCCACTTTCACAGGCTGTAAACATCTGGGCAAGGCCTTTCATCTGCTGGACGTGGCAAAGGGACCCAGGGGCTCGGGATTAACGCCACGATAAAAGCTGGCTCCTGCACTTGGTTTAGCAAGCGTCAAGCTTGCCACAGTGACAAGCTGTGTTTGAAACAGCAAAAGAGGGGGCCAAGGGTGGGGTGGGGGGGCACTTTACAGCCCAACACCATAAATTAATAGTTTCCTCCAGAAGACAAACTCGTTCCAGTGTAGACTCATTAATTAAAACGGCATGTTGCATTTTTAAGGGTTTTTTTTCTAGTTAAGTGGTGTTTCTCCATGTTTTCATTATGACTGATGCTTAAAAAACACAATCCGGTCCACTTGTTGTTTAAGCAACATTCGTCGTAAACTAAGACTTTAATGTCGACTTCAAGGCATACCTTTGCTGATTAGAATGCTCGTGGATCAGCACAGACACCTCAGATGGTTTTGTTAGCATGAGCATCCAGATTTCAAGACATCCATTGAGTAGATTACAAAACAAATAACGTTGCTTCGAAGAATCTTTTCGAACGGGGGTGTCCAAACTTTTTTCCTTTGAGGGCCGCATCCAGAAAGCTGGAAGGACAACAGGGCCATTTTGAAATTTGTCAACATTTTGAAACACGCCGAGGTCAGTCAAGAAAGCAATTCTAGATTGTTTGGATTGTCGAGTTCATTTCATCCGCTTTCTGTTCAAGGCATTAAGGAAAATAGTTGATGGTTTATCCACCCTGCTGGGGTGGCCAACGACCCTCTGACAGAATATATCCAGCTCTGCGCTTCACAGCAGCCGAATCCCAACACCACATTGAGAATTTAAAAAAAAAAAAAAAAAAACAGAACAAACAGTTGTAAGGTGACCATTTTTTTTTTTAGTTACTTGAGGATCATTCATGCGACATCGTCACAAGTCAACCAGAGACCTACATGAGACCTACTTCTACATTCTACAGTAGGATACTTGCAAATCATCACTAAGTTCCTAATGGCCCAACCCCAATCAATCCAACTCAAGCAACTCAACTTTGAGATCCTGTTACGTGGGGACCTCGTACATCAAGTGCCGGGCATTTTTGTTCTCTTTATTGAGAGAGAGAGAGAAAAGGGGGCTGAGTGTTTTGGAATCATTCTTTTTTTTTTTTTTTTTCCCTCTGGACAATTTTTCAAAAGAACACCAAAAGCTTTCCTTTTGGGGATTTTAGGTTGGTGGAGAAGAAAAGAACTGGTGATAAAATTGATGAGTGGCAGATTGACGGATTTTAGCCCTGCACTGGGGTAGAAACAAAATATGAGAGATTAAAAAAAAAAAAAGTCTCAAATTGTCCAAAGTTACTTTTGAACGATGGCTACGTGCACATCGCTTGACATTGTTGGTGGTGTCAATGTCAGGGCCGGGTCTGGTTCTTTGTGTGTGACGCAATTGGTAACGTCTATGGCCACGACTATTAAAAATAATACATTGATTCTGTATCGACTTTTTCTCGATATGCAAAGGAACTATTTCCAACTAGTACGTTAATAAAATGCCTCTTGATAATGCCTCCTGAATACAGAATTCCCAAAGCAAAACTGTTTTCTTCCACTTTCTGCTCCGTGTCGAGTTCTGATTTTTGAACACGTGACATTGATGATTCATTTTGATCCTCAAGTCAAAAGTGCTCCAAAGGTTGCCAGTTGAGTGCGGATTGCTCTTGATTTAGTTCTGCAAGTAGGCAGGGCACACGTTTCGTGCCGTTAGTTCTCACGGGGAATATTTATTGTTCTTCACAATCACATGTATTTAATGTCGGTTTGCGATGGCATCAGTGGTCGTTTCTAATCAACCCAAAAAAATGACACATGAAAGAGAGTAAATGTCAGATTGCGTGAAAAAAATGTTTCCGAAATGTCTTTGGAAAAAGTAACGAAACGATTCCTGACATGCGGGCTAACTCGAAGCGTTTTGCATTGCCCATGTTCTGGGCCGTTTGCATTTGCACACACGACCTCAAAAGTGAAAACAAATACATTTGCAGAACCCGCTTCTCGACCCGCACTTCCAACGATACAATTTCGGACCTCTTCGGACACAAACAGTTTCTATTGTACTCTGAAAATATTCATTTTTACCAACCTGCGATCGGAAGTCAGCAAAACGGACGTTTCGCCCCGTTCGAGACTGGTGAGCGTTCTTCCTCGGTGCGCAGGTCTACTCTCGAACATTGTGCGCTATCCGCCATCTAGCGGTCGGCATGTGGGACTGCACGCGACTCGAACGAGTCAGAATGGACCCGGACGCGTTCGATTTGAATGATCGAGAGATACGTCAAAGAATCAAAGTAAAAACTGCATGGGTTCCTGTTTTTAATCTTTTTTTTTTTATTTTAGATCAAGTTCTTTTGCATATGCATGGAAAGCACAAGAGAAAATGTCCCTTTGCTCACAAAAAAGATCGCTGTAAATCAATGGAATCTTAATGTAAAATTATAATATTTGATTAGAACGCTCAAATATGAACTTGATTCTTTCTTCTCAATCAATGTCTCCTCTTAAAAGTTTAATGAGGAACCATTAAACAATGTGTTTAGCACATTGATCCTCGAAGAAAACAAGTAATCATCAACAGCCACTAGTGACTTTCCATTTGTTACAGAGGAGTGACTGAGCAGTCCTTCATCCCACTGCCTCCGTTTCATTTATTTCTCCATTCTCCTAACTTCACACTTTCCCCACATCACATTCAATCCCCATTTCGGGGTCTGACAATATAGCCCCCTCCGCTCCCCGAAAGGACACAGGTGACTGAGCCCATGACTGCCCCGGCGTCAAGAGGATGATACATAACAGTTCAGGCTCCGATGACAAATCCAGCCGACACTGGGCAGAGAAGAGACATATTGATTTTCCAATGATTAATAAGTGGAAAATAATTGTGTTTCATTAAGATGGATGGAGTTTCATTTAGTCCTGTCTCCTCCTCTTCACTTCAGCACCAGGCAGGCAATCAAATCTGCTCTTACTGGAAGCCATTACCCTGCCATGGCAACACAGCCACCCACTTGTAGTTCTGCAGGTGCATTTTCTGGATTTCTTTCTGACGCAGTCGTTGCGGCACAAAGTAAACAGACAAACAAACAAAAAACAGCAAGCAGAACTTTAAACGGCAGTGTCTCGTCCAGGGGTCTCACTCAAAGAGCCATTTTGACCCGGTTTCCACGGAAAAGACAACCCCGGGAGCTCAAACACACACAAACACAAACACAGACACACACACACACGCGTGCGCACTTATATGTCATGTCTTTGTTTATGGTAGTTGCTTGTTGTTGCAATACTAGTGTAGCCTACAGTACCGGAGACAAATTCCTTGTGTGTGTTCTACATACTTGGAGAATTGTGGTTTATATGGCTGCCCTACAGTACCGGAGACAAATTCCTTGTGTGTGTTCGACATACTTGGCCACTAAAGATGATTCTGAATGACTTTTATGTTGTCAGAATGGTGATTTATATGGCTGTTGTTTTTCCAAGACATCTCAACCAGTTTTGTCAAGAATTTGTGGAAAAAAACTATCCAGAACTTTGTATTGAGAGCCCATTCCGGCTCGTGATGATGTCACCGCACCGAATGTTATCAAGTGTCCAATAGCACGACATGTGCTTGAGAGGATGAAGCCATGTGAGAGGCTGTTCCCCTTGAGCTGTTATGGCGGTGGGGGAGGGGCCCTGCATCCCGGTTCTCCATTCCAACGTTCCCGGGTACCGCTTTAATGTTCATCTAATGACATCCCCCTCCAAGTTGGTGTCATGCTCCATCAGCAATCATAATTGTAAAAGTGATTCATTGACTGATGTTGTCAACATTGCTCCTGTCAGAAGAGCAACGGATAGGCCGCAAAGAGAATTGGGCTCTCTAATGAATATATCAATAACCGGTGACAGGTGAGAGAGTGCTCCCGATGGGCTTTCAAATAAGCACTAACACCTCAGTTCATTTGTTTTGCGCAAACCCTAAAAGAGTCTCCGGTAAATATATTTTTTTTCTCCCCATCTATAGCTTGACGAGAGCGTCGGCCTGCGCCGCTCCTGCACGTGTTGTTTTTTTTTTTGCTCTGTAACAGATACGGCGTCATCGGTTCATAAATTGGAAGTCACACGTGGATGATGTCAAAAGGAAAATGTGAAAAATCACAAAGAAGCAACGAATTCACCATGGATCAAACGAGACACAGTGAAATGTTCGGATCTGATTGAGTTTAAAAGCGCAAAATCAATGTACAAAGGACACAATCACCTGCTCTGCCACAAGACTCAGAAGTTGTTGCTCTGACGTAAGGGGGGAGTAGCCTGGACAAAAAAACAAAACAAAGAAGAACAAGAATTAAGCAAAGGTATATTTCTGAAATTGTTGTTAATTCGGAATCATGTCGAAGTGGCCTGAGTGGCTTGCCTAAGCCGAAGTGCAGTTGTACACTTGGGGAGGTCAACGTCTCTCCTCTGCTGCATTGTACACTGGCCATCCTGCCGCAGGTACGGCGGACAAAAATGTGGCCGAGACGCAATTAAAGGGGCGCCGGGGTGCTTCATTGTCACATCTCTCTCTCTCTCTGTCTGCCCGCCGCATTGATGGCATCTCAATTGCCAGTGTCGGCCTCTTAATGGCTGATTTATTTCATTTTAATATCCTTGTCATGGAGGTACGGCCGGGGCTGGAGGTCTCCTCATGGGGGCCGGGGGCGGGGCCTGTTCCCCCGACTGTCTCCAACGGCAACGCTTGGTTCCAAAGACCTCCTGAGGCCACGGGGTTGCTTTAGGGGTTACTCGAGACTTATTTGGTATTTTAAAAACTATTTGCGAGCATTCTTTTCTCTGAGGGTTTTTTTTTTTTAAGATTTGGTCGCAGGAAAAGAAAACTGCATGTTTTAATATGATGGATGGTGGGATGTGTGTATATATATTCTATATCCAAATTAAAAACGATGATCCGCAACATCATATACGCAGCAGCATTTGCAGTGTATTTATTTTCCCGTTTGCTTTTGTAGGACAATGGCAACGCCGTTCCCGAGAGCTAGTCAATTGACCGGAACCCGTGCCATTTAACACACTATTAATCGACTAATGTGCGTGACGTCACCGCGCGACATCGGTGGACGACGTCCACGGGGCCTAATCAGAGTGGATTACGGGAAATTAGCCCTAAACAAGCCGTGATCCTGCCTTTTCGAAGCATCGCAGGGGTGCGCAAAGGTGATTATTATAATCGCTTAATTCCGTGATGAGACGACGCGCTCTCTTGAGCCGTTTCCCGGACGCCGGTGCGCACGTCATCGATATCGTGACTCCCCGCGTTGTCTGATTCAAGCCACGCGATTAATGAACAGGCAAAAGACAAGCGCGCGGCCGCCATTCTTGCGAATCGATTCCTCACGGCGAGGAGGCCCCTTTTGCAGATCCTCCATCATGTTGCTCATCAGACACTTTTAGCGGACGCGCCGAGTCAGTCATCGAGCGTGTGGGTGTGATAATCAACACCGATGTATTTAGTTTTGACTGTGCGTGCAAGTATAGGGGGAGGAGTTAATCCATACGGTGCGACGATTATGCGCAAAGGTATTCAGCGGAACGTACGGACTTTTTTTGTTCAACGTGTCCGTGTAATTGCATTAGGAAAATTACGTTTTGCTTTTCTTGGAAATGACACAATGAAAGAAAGAGACGGAACACGTGTCGTGCACAGTATCCTCCCTAACAGCCACCATTGACAGTCTACCCCCCCCCACCCCACTCCTAATTTTTTCCCCATCAGCATAAGAGGCTTTGAATGCGAATGTCTCGATCGGCGTGTGCAATTGCGCTTCCAAGAACAGGATGTAATCCGAACACTTTGGAAAGTGACATTCGTAATATACAAGAGAAATAGTGCATTTTGAAAGGAAAAAAAGAAAACAAAATATGCCCCCCCCCACACACACACACACAGACAGACACATCCTCTCCCATGACTGCATGAAAATTATTGCCATTTTCGATGCAAACATCGTTTCTTCCACTTTGTGCTCTCTGACTGATTTACAGAGACATCCCATGAATGAAATTCAAGTAACTAACGTTTTGAAAAATGCTCACCTAGCTTCAGTTTTTATTTGTTTGAATTCTGGCTCCGAATGTGGAGCTAGAATTCAGCCGCTGTTGAGCGCAGGGCCGGACCTATTCTGTGAGACAGAGGGCTGTTGTTACCGCTTGCATTTTTGTCATTCGACGTCACCACGACGAGCCACGTTATTGACATCTGCCATATTTTCACCTTAATTGGCTACGTCAACAACTGGACACCGTCATCAGCGTGTCCTTCGAAAGAGTTTTCGTGCAGAAATGCTGGTCGCTGCAGTTAGGCTGGGCGCTGATGTTTATCCTCGCAGTATCCGATATTTGTTCAGACGTCTTCCCGTTCCGTTTCGGTGTGCCCCTCCCCGCACCGCCCAAGCGTATTGCAGCGACGCCGGTCATGGTTCAAAGCGGAGATTACCTCGAATTGCCTTCAAAATATGCTGGTAAGCGTTGACGCTTTTTTTTTTGCCTCGCACACGGCTTTCTCCGCCTGTCCACAGGAAAATAAACAGATGTACGTTACGTGTTTAGAAGTGCGAGGGATGATGGATTGCAAGAACGCAGATAGCGGTAATTATCGGAAAACCATTAACATTCCGACACTATCCATACCCCGACACATTCTGTTCACGCACTTTGGACGCGGGACTTTTTCGGATAGACGGCGCGCGGGGAAGCGACGCTGGGCGGAATAAAGACTCGACCGCAACTCGTCTTGCCCTCGGGTTGTCTTTATCCCGTATTTCTTTTCATCCGTGGATTCCTCGTGCCTCTTTTCTCCCCTGCGCCAAGGTGCAGGAGCTTTGCTGTAATGTGGAGTGGATGGGAACGGCGATGGGATGCATTGTTCCCCTTTGACAGCGTCTCAATAGCTAATCTCTGAGTGTCTTGGATTTCCTTCAATCTATTAACCATAATGGCGTATATTTAGTGCTTTCGAACTTCGCCTTGGGCTTCTGTCACCCAAACGCAGCGTTGGAAGGGAGAGCATGTCAAAGCAACGGAACCGCGCGCGCGGTCGGTTTTGTTTGTTTGTTTGTTTGTTTGGGGTGGGGTTTTTTGCTTTTTGTCAGGGCTTGAAAGCATTTTGTTTACATCGGCG